TGTTTGTTGTTCATTTTTAGGCTGTCTTTGGAACGACATGACTAAATTAGGATATATCTAGTACAATACTTTGTTGTGCGCAACACATATTCAAGGTGACTAAACAAAGAATTAACATTGTCCAAGCTACAATTTTTTAACGCGCTGTAATCGAACTGAAATTCTTTCTCAGGTGGTTCAACAGAGAAATATTGAGAATACAAGCAGTGAGTGATGAAGTAGACTTAGTTTAGCCCGGCCCATGATTCACACAATTGTTAATTCGTTCGTTCATCAAAATCGTACATTTACTTTACTCACATTCATAGGAAGTCGACATTGTCGGTGATAACACTTTCTCCAGTACCGTTGCTGCTGTGGGTAAAGTGGGGGACGAAGGCAGTGAACCAGACTGGAAGCGCAATAGTAAATCGTAAATAATACAGGTTAACTCAATTAACGGTTGGTCTGCCTGTGGGTCAACCAACTGTGGGTCACATGTTTGGTGATTCAAAATGATTTCTTGCTTGGTTGCTAGTTTGTATTGAACTCACTTAATCCATGAAACATGAATAGTACAAAATACGTGATCTAAGACTGATCTATAGTACTATATGTTTCACAGATTTAGGGAGATCCAGCATTCTGATTGGCTAATGTACTAAAGTATATTGTGATATACCATGGTCGCATCGAATAAAGTGAAAATAGTCGAAAAAMTTGTTCTTTATGGTCATTTTTTCAATTTGCCCTATAGTTTGGTAGATACTAAAACAATTAGACCACTCGATCTCGTGAACTCTAATGAGCCTACCTGCGACTGAGCGTCAATGACTTCCAACTCATTTTGATCCATACCCTAATAAAATGGAACAATACATTATTTTAAATCTCCACTTGCCATTGGCTAATCTCTCTTAAAACGTTTTTTAACGTATGTACAAATATAATGGGAGCCTGCGTAAAAATGTTTCAACTTCCGTTCGACTCTCGTCTTCCATCAAACCGAGCGAATGTGGAAAGGAATTCTGCTGGGCGTGACTGCAAAGTCTAACGGGGGAACTAGGGAAAGGAGATTATGAGGTTCCTAATACTATATGGACGTATTTGTTACTAGCAATTGTTAATAGGAATTAGCAAAAAAGCTGCGCACATCAACCTCTCCTGACTGCCTTTCTTCYAGTCTCTTGTCCCTCGTTAAGTTCAGCGGATGAGGAGGTGAGCGYGAGCCTGGTGACGAGGAGGAAGCTTGTTCCCTTTGCAAGCTGTCTAAACGAGCCTCCGTCTCGGATAGTTTGGTCAGCAGTCGCTCCACTTCGCGTTTGTGGTCTTCTTGAAT